TCAGAATCCTAACAAACTCTACTTATTAACCTGAATGCTACTGGTTGAAGATCATGACGTCATTTTGTATCCATCCAATGAAAATAATATTTAAACAACAACAACAAAGACAACAACAAGATCAATTTAAAATAAATAAAAAAAATATCTGTTATAAAAAAAAACAACATGGAAATACGATTCAATGTTGAATAAGCAGCCGTTTATAACGATGATGTTGGTCTTATGAAGAACCCACAATTATGAAATTTCACACACACACATTATATATATATACATATGTATATATATATATATATATATATATGTGCGTGTGCGTGTGTGTGTGTACATAGGTGTATATGCACGTGAATAGAATATATTGTGGACGTGATTAAAAGATTATTACAGGCGGTTAACAATTGGTATGGAAATCCTAAGCAGGTGGTCTCGTTACTAAAGATATTTGTGTGCGTGTGCGTGTGTGTTTGTGTGCGTGTGTGTTTATTTGTTTGTGTGTGTATATCTATGTGTGTTTCTGAGCTGAATTTGTGTGCGTATATCTATGTGCTTCTTTGTGTGTATATCGATGTTTGTGTGTGTCTAAGTGTATATGTGTTTGCTTGTGTATATATGTGTTTGTGTGTATGTAGTTGTGTGTGTGTGTTTGTGTGTATGTAGGTGTGTGTGTGTTTTTGTGCGTGTCTACGTGTGTATGTGCAATATGTTTGTGTCTGTGTACGTAGGTTTGTGTATATAAAAAGCAGCAAATAATAAAGAAACATATATATTCATTCCATTAACACAACGAAATAGAAAATGCGAAAAAGAAATGAAAAATGAAAAAGAGAGAGAAAGGGAGAGAGAGAGGGGGAGAAAGAGAGAAAGAAAGAAAAAAAGAAAGGGAGAAAGAAAGAAAAAGAGAGAGAGAGAGATAGGCAGGTAGGCAGTTATGTTGGAAGGTTGTAAAGGTGGAAGGTAATGATTTGCTATGGAGGTTGTTATGTGTCATTGATGACCTTCCAGCGGATGCTGAGTGAGTGAAAAGATCAATAGAGGAATGAAGGAATGAATGAAGGAATGAATGAATGAACGAACGAACGAACGAACGAATGAATGAATGAACGGATGATTGAATGTTAGACTAAAGGAAGTTCGAAGATGAATTAATGAGAAATTTAAAAAAATGTGTGAACCTGTTAACATCATCTTCGTAATCATCATCATATGTCATCATCATTTTTGTCACCAATAATTTTGTTGTCTGTGTTTGGTTTTGCCATAATCATCATCATCATCGTCGTCGTCGTTGTCGTCATCACCATCCATCATCACCATCATTATCATCATCATCGTCATCATCATCATAATCCATCATCGTCATCATCATCATCATCGTCATCAGCATCATCATCATCATCATCATCGTCATCATCATCGTCACCATCATTATCATCATCATCGTCATCATCATCATAATCCATCATCGTTATCATTGTAATCGTCGTCGTCATCATCGCAACAATTCTCCGGTCTGGACCAAGGAACGTCTAGTCAG